TTCCATCTTTAACCAAAAAGATGAAGTAATTCACTTCCTTCACGAACACAAGATCGACGTTCTCCTGGTCCAAGAAACGTTTTTAAAACCAGGGATCAGATTTAAAATCCCTAATTATATAACATACAGGGAGGACAGAACAAATAGGCAAGGTGGAGGCACCGCTATAATCATTAAAAACTCGATCAATCATCATCTCATCACCAATAATCTAAACTCTCTTGAAGCTACCACTATCAAGATAATCTCAGATAACTTTCAATTAAAATTATCTTCTGTTTATAAAGCACCAACCAACAGCACGTACCTAAATGATCTATCCTCATTACTAGATGTGGACGAACCCACGTTTGTTGCGGGCGACCTCAACGCTTACAATAGAGATTGGGGAGAAAGAAGCACAAACAGAGCAGGAAGAGAGATAGATAATTTAATCACAGAACAGGCACTAACATTACATTGCCCAACAGAGCCTACACACTTTTGCCACGGGGCCTCCCGAATACTTGACATCGGTATTTCAAGATCTTTGGATGCTAATTGTCATATCGAAGTACTGGAGGAGTTAAACTCAGATCATAAGCCGGTTCTGTTCTTTATTGAAAACATGTTTTTCGAATCTCCACCCCCAGTGATAACGATGACAAACTGGACTCAATTCCGTCATGAAATGGAAAACTATTCCCTCAATAGCCCCATAAACTCAATAGAAGACCTTAATAACACCATAGAAATAGTCACTTCAAAAATCCAAGACTCAATCTCCAATAACTCATCCATAAAATCCATCAGCGCCAAGAACTATTTTATACTCCCAAGGTTCATTAGAAACCTAATTAAAAACAAAAATAGACTACGAAAAAGGGCCCTTCGAACAAACGACCCCGCACTGAAGAGAGCAGCAAACCTTCAAACCAATGTCATAAGAAAATTGGTTCGCGAATTCAAAAACCACAAATGGAACGAATTTCTAATGAGCTTCGAAACTGGTGATAAAGCCTTCTGGAATATCAGCAAATATTTCAGACTGAAAAACAAGATTCAAATTCCACCAATACACGGTCCCAATGGGCTCAAATTCGCTGATGAGGATAAAGCCGAAGAATTTGCAAACTCCCTCGAGTCACAATTCTTAGATAACCATGACATTTCTGATGATGTAGACGAAGAAGAATTAATTGGAGAAAGAGCGGAAGCCATTTTGAGCAGAATCCCTGATTCACCTATCTCGCCGTGCAGCGTCGAAGAACTGCAAGCCATTATCTACTCTATCAAAACAAAATCGGCTCCAGGTGCTGATAAAATTAGTAACCGCTGTATCAAAAATCTGCCTGTAGCATCAATCATCATAATTAATAATATAATCAATGCCATGCTACAGTTAGGTAAATTTCCAGATAAATGGAAAGAAGCATTAGTAATTGTGCTCCCGAAACCCAACAAGAACCACACATTCCCGCAAAACTGGCGACCTATCAGCCTACTTCCAGTTATGGGGAAACTAGCTGAAAGAGTCATTCTAAATAGACTGCAGACCGAAACAAATCGCCTAAAACTTATACCGGACGAACAATTCGGCTTCAAAGCCAACCATTCGACCGATCTACAACTGGCAAGAGTGACACAATACATCCAATCTGCACTTAGAGAAAATAAATCGACGGGCATGATAATATTTGATGTTGAGAAAGCGTTTGATAAAGTTTGGCACGATGGCCTCATCTCTAAAATGTACGACCTAAATCTACCTCTCAACATCATCAAAATCATTGGTAGCTTCATGCATAAAAGACAATTCAGAGTCAAAATCAATAATCATCTATCAACCCCCAGATTTATTGAAGCAGGGGTGCCTCAAGGCTCTCCATTGTCTCCAGCCCTATACAATCTCTTCACTTCCGACATTCCAAAGCTAGAACCATCTAAACTAGCCCTATATGCAGATGATACCTGTATATTCTATGCTGATAAAAATACTTTAAACGTCAGTAACACATTACAGGAACATGTTGACTGTGTCACTTCTTACTTCCAAAAATGGAAAATTAAAATTAATAACGATAAAACGAAGGCAATTTTCATAACCAGAAAACGGTGGCAATATCCACCAAAATTAAAAGTAAATGACACCGATATAGACTGGGAAGACCACATCAAATACCTGGGGATTACATTTGACAAGAAATTCCAATGGAGCACGCACATATACAATCTAAGAAATAAAATCAACACAATGCTAAACCATTTACGACCGCTCTACAAAAACAAGGCTCTAAGTATCATAAATAAAAAGTTGCTTTATACCCAGATAATGCGTCCGGCGCTATCATATGGCTTCATTGCTTTCTCCAAAACTTCAAAAACTAACTTCAACAAACTTCAAACATGTCAAAATATAGCCATTAAAAAAATATTTAACATTCCCTGGTACATAAGAAATGTCGATATTCAAAGGGATCTAAAAATCACACCTATCAAACTATACATTAAAGACAGGGCTCTCAAATTATTCAAATCAATAGATGCACATGACAACACTTTATTGCAAAATCTACACCAACAACCTATTCACACTACAGGAAGATACGCGGACATCCGTACCATTATTAACTAAACTAAACAATAAAATTAATTGAGCACTCGTCATTTACCCAGTGGACATAATCTAGAAATGTCTACCACTATAATTGAGTCAAGGTATTAACTTTTACCGACTCGAACTCAATTTTCAACAACAAATCGACGATTAAAATTTAAAATCAGAAATCATGCCACCAAAAACTAGCGGAAAAGCAGCCAAAAAAGATGGAAAGGCTCAGAAAAATATAACCAAAAACGATAAGAAGAAGAAGCGCAGGAGGAAGGAGAGCTATGCTATCTACATTTATAAAGTGTTAAAGCAGGTCCACCCCGATACTGGTATATCATCGAAAGCCATGAGCATCATGAACAGCTTCGTGAATGACATATTCGAACGTATTGCTGCTGAGGCTTCGCGCTTAGCACACTACAATAAGCGCTCCACCATTACTAGTCGGGAGATTCAAACTGCTGTTCGTCTTTTACTTCCCGGTGAACTGGCTAAGCACGCAGTTAGTGAAGGAACAAAAGCTGTCACTAAGTATACTAGTTCCAAGTAAATTGCGTTATATCAAACAAACACCACTTATTCAAAAGGCCCTTTTCAGGGCCACAAAAATATTCAATTGAGTTGATAATTTATCTATATTATAAATATGTATAGAGCCCTGAAATTATTTACGAAAACTGACAGGCTTATCAACACCGCGTTATTGAATCTCAGAATGGTTACAAGCTCCTCGGGGAGGTATGCAGATCTGATAAAGTTATAAACAATAATCCAGACAAGGCGTAAAGAGGGGTTAAGAAGAAACCTCGTAGTTAATAGAAAGTAAAAGTGCTCAAGTGCACTGACTCAACTAGCCTCAACATAATAATAATATAAATATGATATATATTTTGTTTTTGATATTTCTTTTAAAAGGCTACTGATAGAAGAAAAAAATAAAAAAAAACTTTGACAGTCTCTTCATGAATTATCAGCTATCGTTTGGTTGTTAGTGAATAAATGATTCAATCAACAAATTAATTTCTGTCGGTTTTGAGGATCTTACAGTTTTTTAATCATGGATAATATAACCTGCTAAATAGAGTTAACTCTTGAATTAACGAGTCTTAATCCTTATCATCAGTCTTAGTACTATCATCGCTTTTAAATTGATATATTCTATATTTACATTCGTGCTTTAAATTTGAAAACATAAATATAGTATTTGTTCCTTGTCATTCATTCTATGATACCATACAATTTCATGGGATAGATAAGCTCTTTTACAACTCATTCCTTAAGCGTTCTTTTAGTAAGTTCAAGTCTTACATTATGGCTTCTGATGCTTTCTGCTTACAGCAAAAGAAAAATAAAATATATTGATTCAATTAAATGTTATGACGTGAAACATTCTATGTCTAATGATACACTATATGATACTAATAATAGTATACATATGATGCTAATATTATACATATTAATATATGTTATGCTACTTCTAATAGCAATGTCTATACTACATCTATATGATATAATTTATCATTATCTCTTTTCTTTGAATAAACTTACTATGCAACAATTGCATTTACATTTTGCTTATTTTATTTTCGTAGTCAAAAATAAGCAATTGAAAATAGTTAAGCAATTTCAAACCCTGGATAAGTCATGTCATTTATTTATCTCTTTTCTTTATATAATTTTGGTCCTGAAAAGGACCGATTTTTGTATATTTATAAAATTATATTGCTTCCAATCTTAAGCACGTTCTCCACGAATACGTCTAGCCAATTGAATATCTTTTGGCATAATTGTAACGCGTTTGGCATGAATTGCGCATAAGTTAGTATCTTCAAAAAGACCCACTAAGTATGCTTCGCTAGCTTCTTGAAGAGCCATTACAGCAGAACTCTGGAAACGTAAATCAGTTTTGAAATCTTGTGCAATTTCACGGACCAAACGCTGGAATGGCAATTTGCGAATCAAGAGCTCAGTACTCTTTTGGTAGCGACGAATTTCACGTAAAGCTACAGTTCCTGGACGATAACGATGTGGTTTTTTCACACCTCCAGTAGCTGGTGCACTTTTACGTGCGGCTTTGGTAGCCAATTGTTTTCGTGGTGCCTTACCACCAGTCGATTTACGAGCAGTTTGCTTTGTACGAGCCATAATTTATGAGATATGTTACAATATGGTATTTTAAAAAATAGCGCAATTGAATAGCTCAATTTTCTCATCATACCTGGATGTTCTGTTTCAACTATTCACATGTTTTAACATTCATTGTTTCTCATATTGCTTATTCTTTTTATTTTGTTTTCTTTTGTTTTGTTTTGTTTTACTCAATCTTTTTCATATCTTTCATAGTGCTTATGTTTTCTATAAATAGTCGTCAATCATCCGTCGTCACTTCATTTATTGTTTGAATTTGAATTCGAACGGTTCTACCATATCTATAAAAATTTAAATACAAAATGACAGGTCGTGGTAAAGGTGGCAAAGGATTAGGAAAAGGTGGTGCTAAGCGTCACCGCAAAGTTCTTCGTGATAACATCCAAGGTATTACGAAACCAGCTATCAGACGTTTAGCTCGCCGAGGCGGAGTTAAGCGTATTTCTGGTTTGATTTATGAAGAAACTCGTGGAGTATTGAAAGTATTTTTGGAAAATGTGATCCGTGATGCTGTTACATACACAGAACATGCCAAAAGGAAGACTGTTACAGCCATGGATGTCGTATATGCTTTAAAGAGACAAGGCCGTACCTTATACGGTTTTGGAGGTTAAGCAAATAATCAATTATTGATTTAATAATGCAATAATATATTGCCCAATGGTCCTTTTCAGGACCCAAATAATCTTACACTTAAAGAGATAAATTTACATATATATGTGTTGGTATTTTTCTAATATTATAAAAAAAATAAAATTTATTATTAGCTTGGTCGATTGATGTCTGTCGAGTATAATTGATAATTAAAATGATCAGTTTAACAGAGTCCAAAATATTTATTATTATAATTCTCAATTTCTTTGTTACATTAGCAGTATATATGTGGACTAGCTTCTTACGGGCTTAATTATAATTCTCATTCAATTTTTTTATAGAATAAGATAAATAGAACTGACGTATATAAGTAATTTGCGGACTGTTAGATATTGCAGTTTGAAGTTTCCACACAATGGTGTGAAAATTTTCTCCATTCATTCCTAAGAGGTGGTTTTAGTGAATTCAAATCTCACACTGAATCTGACTCTTAATCTTAATCCAAATCCAAGTGTTCAACAAGCAAAATGATTGCGGGGAAAATGAAAGTGAAAAAAATTCGTATATGAATTAAGTGAATTATGACAATATTATATAAAGAAAAGAAATAAAAGAACTTGTTATTGAAATAAATTAGAATATTTTAAAATTATCTTTAAGTAATTTGCAGCGTCTTGCAAGTGAGTACCGAGTGTGGTGTGTTAGTTATAAATTAACAAGTGTAATTAGAAGCATTATATAATAATAAATAAAATTAGCATAAACCACTATTTTTATTTATTTAAAATAGAATTTAAAAATGAAATTAAGTGAATAAAATATATACAAGTGAGTATTTCATCAAATAAATGACATATTTTGATATATAATATTTTATGGTCATTACTATAATAAATAAATAATTGGATATTAAATATAATAGAATAAGATAAATATTTATTAACTTAAGAATGATGTGAAGTATTGCACATAATGTCTAAATAAGAGAATATAATTTTTTTAAATGCATAAAGAATTTTTGTTTGCTTATTAGAGATTAAATTTATAGCGCATTACAGAATAAAAGAATCTCTTCATATTATTCATGAGGTATTATTAAAAGAAATGATCGTGCACTATGACAAGGTATATTGTGCCCATTACTCGGGTTAGAATGTTTCTCCAAGTCCGTTTTCTTTAATGAAAGACAATATAAAGTCCTAGTCTTGAATATTTATGATCCATGAAATACCCTCCTAGGTGTTTATTCCGTTTGTGCATCAGTGGACACTACCCAAGCACATGGTATACAGTTTCTCTCTTCTCTACAGTATCTGCAGTCTGAGTTGGATTGAATTCCTAACTTCGATAGGTGATTATTCAATCTTTAGTGACCGGTCATTAATAAACGCAATAGGTATACCATATACTAAAACATTTTATAAAATAAATAAATAAATAAATAAATAATGAATCTTCTTATCTTCTTTTTACACATATTTTGTAGCCCTAAAAAGGGCTGTTTTGATGAATTTAAAGTTTGATTTTTAAAATTATTTTTTTGCAGCAGTTTTCTTGACTGATGTTTTTTTAACGGCAGTTTTTTTAGGTTTTGCGGCCGCTTTAGCTTTTGTAGAAGTAGACTTTGGTTTAGCTGGCTTAGCCTTAACAGATCCAATCTTTTTAACACTTTTAACTTTAGCTTTCTCAGTTTTTTTCTTTTCAACACTCTTCTTAGCTGCCGCAGATTTTTTAGGTTTTTTCTCTCCAGATACCTTTGCCTTTGACTTTTTAGTACCTGCAGATGATGCAGTAACCTTCTTCTTCGTAACACCTGATGGCACCTTCTTTTTCTTACCCTCGACAGACGATTTAGGAGACTTAGCAGCAGCAGCTGATAATTTAAATGAACCAGATGCACCTTTTCCTTTTGTTTGTATCAATTTGCCATTAGCTACAGCAGTTTTCAAATATTTTTTAATAAATGGAGCCAATTTCTGGGCATCACATTTATATGTGGCACTTATATACTTTTTAATTGCCAACAATGAAGATCCGCTGCGTTCCTTCAAGTTCTTGATAGATGCATCAACCATTTGTTGTGTTGATGGAGCTGCAGAAGGTTTTTTTACTTTTGTTGCCTTTTTAACAGCAACTTTCTTTTCAGGAACGGCAGTTACCTCCTTTGGAGAATCTGTATTTGCAACGGCAACAGCTTCAGACATATTTGCTTTTTAATATTCCGTAATATTCTTACTTATGAATATTTTTTCGCATTTTTATGGTAGCTTAGCTCACTTTGTACGAAGCGCCGAGAAGAGCGCATTTATAAAAATTGTTCATTAATACATATTTCTACTGAGTTTGAAAAAATTTTTCAACATTTATTATTAATTTTAAATAGACCAAGTAAATTAAACACAATTATTTAAATCAAATTAAGTAAAGAAGATATTGAATATTTTATTACATTCATTTTTATACTAATTATAATTATATAAAATATATAAAAATTGGTTTAAACTTTAAATTTTGTAAATCTATAGTTGAACTTGTTAATAAATTAGAATATTTTAAAGTTATCTTTTGTATAATTTATATATTAAATTATTTATTAAATAGTTTATTCAATTCTCTGTTAAATTATATATATGGTTTTATATATTTCATATATTTATAAATGCAAATTTAATAAAACATGAGATGCATAAAAACGTCAGTTTTAACATTTTGAATGCTTATGTTTTATCCTATTTTGAAATATTAACTCAATTTATATAAAAGTTTAAAATTTCAAAGCACTAATAGAAATAATTATAAATAAATATATTGTATTTTAATTAGAATATAAGATTATCACTTTTAATTATATCAAATAGTGTCTATTTGAGATTAGATATCCATCCATAATGTTAACATGTTACATTGAATTCGTTTACTTTAAAATATGTTTTAAGATTTTCTATACGTATTATTTTTAAAATTTTATTACAAGTTTTAAATAATTTTTAATCATGTGAAAAATTATTATATATAAACGTTATTAATAACATATCAGCAATTAAATTTATAGTTTTCAATATCATTCGAATATAACAACTGTACGTATCCTACTTAATAGAATTCATAAAAAAAAATTATATCTACATACATGATTAAAAATATATAAGAATGAAATCATTTTACTTTTTCTTTTATAATTATAATTTAATCATTTAACTTTGACTATTATAAGTATTTTATTAAATATGTATATTTAAAAAAAATGTTCTTTTTATTACTTTATAATTAAAATAAAATTAAAATTAGATGTGCGTATTCTAACATTTTTATAAGGAGTGATATACGACATAAAATGTTAAAATTTAAGATGAATTTTTTTATAAACTAACATGGATATGGATAACATTTAAATAGATACTGAAGTATATATATAAACTTGCGGCTGCAATCTTCCATAGTCATTCCTAAGAGCTAGTTTTAGTAGGTTCAAGACTCACACAGTGGCTTCGGATGTTTTCCATCTACTGCCATAAATCTTTTATAAAATATAGAATATTTTATAAAACTAATTCAGATACAAATTTTAAAAACTCTACCTTTAAATAATTTATCTATAATAATAAATATTACAATACCAAAATATTGAAATAGTAACTATGATAATAATAGTAAACATTTAGGCCGTGTGCGAGTTCGAGTATATTTAGGGGAAATAGTCAATTATGTCGGTATGGCAGCGATTGTTGGTACATACCAGAATTTCTAATGAGATAAATTAGGTGTTACCATTTTGAAAATTTTATAAGATGTTTAGTAAATAAATAAATAAATTTTAAAACTTTTAAAAGAAAAATAATTATTTTTTATATGTTTCCTTCTTTATATTATGAATATTAATGTTTTTTAATAATTGTATCACATTTATTTAATAATAAATACAAATATTTGGCACAAAATTATTAATTTCTTGATTTCAAAAAGGTAATTATGAAACTTTATGCTATTGACCTGGCAACGTTATTTGTTTTGTACATTTTTATTAGTAACAAATATAATATTAATATTATTGTAACTTAGATTATACTACCTGCGAAGATTTATGTATCTATTTACTGATACGCGAATCTATGATAAATATTAAAAAATTCTTAATAATATAAAGGGTTAGGCGATTGAAGTGTTACAAATTACACAGAGATATGTTTGTCAAACTGATATTGCCAACTACGTCAAATTCATATGAATGACAGCTATTTATATTGTTTACAAATTACCACAAGCATTTGCGTCTAAGTTTTATAGAACTAATATTATTCGAAATGGAATTAAAAAATAAGTGTGATTGCATTATATTTGGTTGGAAAATTACAACTAGCTATTGTGCTTGAGCTCAAATATCTCAATGTGAATAAAATGTTTGTGTATCGTACCTTAAATCGTTATAATAGCTCAGGCAGAGTCACCAAATGCTATAGTGGTGGACGAAAAAAAAACAGCAACATTGCCTAAAATGGTTCGGAAAGTGAAGGCTCGACTTAAACGAAATCCACGTCGTAGTACTAATCAAATGGCCAAAGAACCGATAATATCTGAACGAAGCATCTGACGCATTTTCCAAAATAAGCTCAAGGTAAAGCTTTAAAAGTTCCAAGGCAAAAGATCTTGCACCAAAGCAACAAAAAGTTAGACTCGAATGAGCAAAGGAGTTGCTACGCTGGGCCAATTTGGAGAGCAAGTTGAGAACTAAAAAATAAGCCAGTTTCGATACGCTGAAGAAAGCTTTTATTCAGGAATAGGCCAAAATACTGGAAGATCACAGCCATAGTCAAGACAAAAGGTGGCCACATCAAGCTAGAGTGAATGGATTGTGAAATTTTAATTATTTTCACAAATTTTTGTAATTTGAATCAATAAAAAATAATGTGATCGCTTGAATAGGTAACACTTCAATTATCTAACCCTGAATAATAAACTTGCATTCTTAAAAAATAGTGGCACAGCGAACCTGCTTTCTAGGAAGTCAATTGGAACGCATACACACTCGTATGTATAAAAACTGGTTGATACCTGCTGCCCAAAAACAAAAAAAAAATTATTACTATGTAGCAAAACGCAGTGTTAAGTTATACACTAACAATGCTATGTATTTTATCTGTTATGTAGGCTGATTTACAATTTTCGAAGATTTCGATTTCATGAAGGTCTTCCAGGAATGTAACGGAACAGAAGGGCGAGGCAAGAAATGATTGATTGTTAAGTGTTTTAAAGTATGGCTTGTGTAAGTTAGTAGGGTAGGTATGATAGTATGTACAATATTTATATCAATTGATTTAATGAAATACATTTTCTTTAATAAAATAAATTTTGTCGTCCTGAAAAGGACGGATTAATTGATAGTTAATTCTCCACGTATATGTATTCGTATTTTAATAAATAAAATAAAATAATTTAAGCCTTCTTTTCTGTTTTCTTTGGCAAAAGTACAGCCTGAATGTTTGGTAGTACACCACCTTGTGCAATTGTAACACCAGACAATAATTTGTTCAATTCTTCATCATTACGTATGGCCAACTGTAAATGACGAGGAATGATTCTTGTCTTCTTATTATCGCGTGCTGCATTGCCAGCCAATTCAAGAACTTCAGCAGCCAAATATTCCATAACGGCAGCTAAGTAGACTGGAGCACCTGCACCAACGCGTTCAGCATAATTGCCTTTACGCAATAATCGATGAATACGACCAACTGGAAATTGTAATCCAGCACGATTTGATCGTGACTTTGCCTTGCCTTTAACTTTACCACCTTTACCACGACCAGACATAGTTGAGTTGAGTTTCTAGTAGTTGAGATTTATAAAAATTGGATCTATTTTTTTTAATGATGCCGACAAATTATCTCATATACTTTTTCTAAACGCAATTTAAAATAAAAAATTGCTTTAAACTTTCGTTTGAAAAATGTTTATATAGAAACGGAAATTGCTCCAAATCGACGATTAAAATTTAAAATCAGAAATCATGCCACCAAAAACTAGCGGAAAAGCAGCCAAAAAAGATGGAAAGGCTCAGAAAAATATAACCAAAAACGATAAGAAGAAGAAGCGCAGGAGGAAGGAGAGCTATGCTATCTACATTTATAAAGTGTTAAAGCAAGTCCACCCCGATACTGGTATATCATCGAAAGCCATGAGCATCATGAACAGCTTCGTGAATGACATATTCGAACGTATTGCTGCTGAGGCTTCGCGCTTAGCACACTACAATAAGCGCTCCACCATTACTAGTCGGGAGATTCAAACTGCTGTTCGTCTTTTACTTCCCGGTGAACTGGCTAAGCACGCAGTTAGTGAAGGAACAAAAGCTGTCACTAAGTATACTAGTTCCAAGTAAATTGCGTTATATCAAACAAACACCACTTATTCAAAAGGCCCTTTTCAGGGCCACAAAAATATTCAATTGAGTTGATAATTTATCTATATTATAAATATGTATAGAGCCCTGAAATTATTTACGAAAACTGACAGGCTTATCAACACCGCGTTATTGAATCTCAGAATGGTTACAAGCTCCTCGGGGAGGTATGCAGATCTGATAAAGTTATAAACAATAATCCAGACAAGGCGTAAAGAGGGGTTAAGAAGAAACCTCGTAGTTAATAGAAAGTAAAAGTGCTCAAGTGCACTGACTCAACTAGCCTCAACATAATAATAATATAAATATGATATATATTTTGTTTTTGATATTTCTTTTAAAAGGCTACTGATAGAAGAAAAAAATAAAAAAAAACTTTGACAGTCTCTTCATGAATTATCAGCTATCGTTTGGTTGTTAGTGAATAAATGATTCAATCAACAAATTAATTTCTGTCGGTTTTGAGGATCTTACAGTTTTTTAATCATGGATAATATAACCTGCTAAATAGAGTTAACTCTTGAATTAACGAGTCTTAATCCTTATCATCAGTCTTAGTACTATCATCGCTTTTAAATTGATATATTCTATATTTACATTCGTGCTTTAAATTTGAAAACATAAATATAGTATTTGTTCCTTGTCATTCATTCTATGATACCATACAATTTCATGGGATAGATAAGCTCTTTTACAACTCATTCCTTAAGCGTTCTTTTAGTAAGTTCAAGTCTTACATTATGGCTTCTGATGCTTTCTGCTTACAGCAAAAGAAAAATAAAATATATTGATTCAATTAAATGTTATGACGTGAAACATTCTATGTCTAATGATACACTATATGATACTAATAATAGTATACATATGATGCTAATATTATACATATTAATATATGTTATGCTACTTCTAATAGCAATGTCTATACTACATCTATATGATATAATTTATCATTATCTCTTTTCTTTGAATAAACTTACTATGCAACAATTGCATTTACATTTTGCTTATTTTATTTTCGTAGTCAAAAATAAGCAATTGAAAATAGTTAAGCAATTTCAAACCCTGGATAAGTCATGTCATTTATTTATCTCTTTTCTTTATATAATTTTGGTCCTGAAAAGGACCGATTTTTGTATATTTATAAAATTATATTGCTTCCAATCTTAAGCACGTTCTCCACGAATACGTCTAGCCAATTGAATATCTTTTGGCATAATTGTAACGCGTTTGGCATGAATTGCGCATAAGTTAGTATCTTCAAAAAGACCCACTAAGTATGCTTCGCTAGCTTCTTGAAGAGCCATTACAGCAGAACTCTGGAAACGTAAATCAGTTTTGAAATCTTGTGCAATTTCACGGACCAAACGCTGGAATGGCAATTTGCGAATCAAGAGCTCAGTACTCTTTTGGTAGCGACGAATTTCACGTAAAGCTACAGTTCCTGGACGATAACGATGTGGTTTTTTCACACCTCCAGTAGCTGGTGCACTTTTACGTGCGGCTTTGGTAGCCAATTGTTTTCGTGGTGCCTTACCACCAGTCGATTTACGAGCAGTTTGCTTTGTACGAGCCATAATTTATGAGATATGTTACAATATGGTATTTTAAAAAATAGCGCAATTGAATAGCTCAATTTTCTCATCATACCTGGATGTTCTGTTTCAACTATTCACATGTTTTAACATTCATTGTTTCTCATATTGCTTATTCTTTTTATTTTGTTTTCTTTTGTTTTGTTTTGTTTTACTCAATCTTTTTCATATCTTTCATAGTGCTTATGTTTTCTATAAATAGTCGTCAATCATCCGTCGTCACTTCATTTATTGTTTGAATTTGAATTCGAACGGTTCTACCATATCTATAAAAATTTAAATACAAAATGACAGGTCGTGGTAAAGGTGGCAAAGGATTAGGAAAAGGTGGTGCTAAGCGTCACCGCAAAGTTCTTCGTGATAACATCCAAGGTATTACGAAACCAGCTATCAGACGTTTAGCTCGCCGAGGCGGAGTTAAGCGTATTTCTGGTTTGATTTATGAAGAAACTCGTGGAGTATTGAAAGTATTTTTGGAAAATGTGATCCGTGATGCTGTTACATATACAGAACATGCCAAAAGGAAGACTGTTACAGCCATGGATGTCGTATATGCTTTAAAGAGACAAGGCCGTACCTTATACGGTTTTGGAGGTTAAGCAAATAATCAATTATTGATTTAATAATGCAATAATATATTGCCCAATGGTCCTTTTCAGGACCCAAATAATCTTACACTTAAAGAGATAAATTTACATATATATGTGTTGGTATTTTTCTAATATTATAAAAAAATAAAATTTATTATTAGCTTGGTCGGTTGATGTCTGTCGAGTATAATTTATAATTAAAATGATCAGTTTAACAGTGTCCAAAATATTTATTATTATAATTCTCAATTTCTTTGTTACATTAGCAGTATATATGTGGACTAGCTTCTTACGGGCTTAATTATAATTCTCATTCAATTTTTTTATAGAATAAGATAAATAGAACTGACGTATATGAGTAATTTGCGGACTGTTAGATATTGCAGTTTGAAGTTTCCACACAATGGTGTGAAAATTTTCTCCATTCATTCCTAAGAGGTGGTTTTAGTGAATTCAAATCTCACACTGAATCTGACTCTTAATCTTAATCCAAATCCAAGTGTTCAACAAGCAAAATGATTGCGGGGAAAATGAAAGTGAAAAAAATTCGTATATGAATTAAGTGAATTATGACAATATTATATAAAGAAAAGAAATAAAAGAACTTGTTATTGAAATAAATTAGAATATTTTAAAATTATCTTTAAGTAATTTGCAGCGTCTTGCAAGTGAGTACCGAGTGTGGTGTGTTAGTTATAAATTAACAAGTGTAATTAGAAGCATTATATAATAATAAATAAAATTAGCATAAACCACTATTTTTATTTATTTAAAATAGAATTTAAAAATGAAATTAAGTGAATAAAATATATACAAGTGAGTATTTCATCAAATAAATGACATATTTTGATATATAATATTTTATGGTCATTACTATAATAAATAAATAATTGGATATTAAATATAATAGAATAAGATAAATATTTATTAACTTAAGAATGATGTGAAGTATTGCACATAATGTCTAAATAAGAGAATATAATTTTTTTAAATGCATAAAGAATTTTTGTTTGCTTATTAGAGATTAAATTTATAGCGCATTACAGAATAAAAGAATCTCTTCATATTATTCATGAGGTATTATTAAAAGAAATGATCGTGCACTATGACAAGGTATATTGTGCCCATTACTCGGGTTAGAATGTTTCTCCAAGTCCGTTTTCTTTAATGAAAGACAATATAAAGTCCTAGTCTTGAATATTTATGATCCATGAAATACCCTCCTAGGTGTTTATTCCGTTTGTGCATCAGTGGACACTACCCAAGCACATGGTATACAGTTTCTCTCTTCTCTACAGTATCTGCAGTCTGAGTTGGATTGAATTCCTAACTTCGATAGGTGATTATTCAATCTTTAGTGACCGGTCATTAATAAACGCAATAGGTATACCATATACTAAAACATTTTATAAAATAAATAAATAAATAATGAATCTTCTTTTTACACATATTTTGTAGCCCTAAAAAGGGCTGTTTTGATGAATTTAAAGTTTGATTTTTAAAATTATTTTTTTGCAGCAGTTTTCTTGACTGATGTTTTTTTAACGGCAGTTTTTTTAGGTTTTGCGGCCGCTTTAGCTTTTGTAGAAGTAGACTTTGGTTTAGCTGGCTTAGCCTTAACAGATCCAATCTTTTTAACACTTTTAACTTTAGCTTTTTCAGTTTTTTTCTTTTCAACACTCTTCTTAGCTGCCGCAGATTTCTTAGGTTTTTTCTCTCCAGATACCTTTGCCTTTGACTTTTTAGTACCTGCAGATGATGCAGTAACCTTCTTCTTCGTAACACCTGATGGCACCTTCTTTTTCTTACCCTCGACAGACGATTTAGGAGACTTAGCAGCAGCAGCTGATAATTTAAATGAACCAGATGCACCTTTTCCTTTTGTTTGTATCAATTTGCCATTAGCTACAGCAGTTTTCAAATATTTTTTAATAAATGGAGCCAATTTCTGGGCATCACATTTATATGTGGCACTTATATACTTTTTAATTGCCAACAATGAAGATCCGCTGCGTTCCTTCAAGTTCTTGATAGATGCATCAACCATTTGTTGTGTTGATGGATGAGATGGAGCTGCAGAAGGTTTTTTTACTTTTGTTGCCTTTTTAACAGCAACTTTCTTTTCAGGAACGGCAGTTACCTCCTTTGGAGAATCTGTATTTGCAACGGCAACAGCTTCAGACATATTTGCTTTTTAATATTCCGTAATATTCTTACTTATGAATATTTTTTCGCATTTTTATGGTAGCTTAGCTCACTTTGTACGAAGCGCCGAGAAGAGCGCATTTATAAAAATTTTTCATTAATACATATTTCTACTGAGTTT